AATTCCGTTAATTCGGTTCGAAACCGAATTATTTCGGTTCGGTTTCGAAATAATTCGGTTTAACCGAATTTTTTGCCTTAGAAAAAAAATGATGCGAGTACAATCTTTTCTTCGTGTGCTATACCTACTTTGACGAGAAAAAATTCCCATCCGAAATGAAAATGACCTATAATAGCAGTTCTAAGAATGTTCTCTAGAGTATGCCTTCGTAGGATATAGTCATCAAAATTCTTTGACATGAAAGAATACAAAATTTCCTTAAAAAGGATAGACTAATTCAAGAATTCAATTTTAATCATAAAACAAAAGTTGAAAATGAAAACGAGCCTTCGAAAACCTAAAATGAATGTCAACTTCCAACAGCAAATATATCCGATGCCCTCAATTAAATGTTACGAGTAAACATTGAATAAGAAAAATTCAATGGCAAGAAAAGTCGCATCTATATCTCCAACATGAAGTTATTCTCGTGGAAAACTACTTCCAGCAGGGGAGAATCTTACATTTAAATATTTATATTTCGAAGAATGCAAATCCATATAACCATCATAATTTTCAAATCACATAAGGTCTAAGGGTCGAGTCTAACCTTTCAGCATTTTAAGAATGTGACATGCTAGCTTACCGCCTACCAAGACACGTTCCAATTCGGAGCCAAAAAATATGGTAACAACCTAAGGTAGGAGACCGATCCTAATCACAATAGTGAAACACCGGCATTATAATTCGGAAGAGTAATGTTGTCACCAAATATATAACCTTTTGGTTCGGGCAATAAGCCGGATAGCCGATAACACTAAATATACAGCCAAAATTCAACCCATTTACTTCATTTGCGATGATTACATTCTTCAATTCAAGAACTTTAGAATCTTGATCAAGAAAAATTCTGAATTACCTTTCTAAAATTCTATCAAATATACAACCTCCTAAGTTCTACCTTCATTGAAAATATTGGGATCTTTATTGATTTATCGAGTAGCTAATCAAAGCAAAACAAAATCAAGACAAAACTTAACTAATCAACATTAACAACAACTATGTAATGGCAAAACATATGCACAAAGTTTTAAAATTAAGCAATGAAATGAGCATCATTCAAGAAAACACAAAATGGGTTTCCTTATATGAAATATACCTAATCAAATCTGAAATATACACAATCAAATCCATAGAACCAAACAGAAGAAGAAAAGGAATCTTAACATTTCACATTTGCGGACAATCCTAGTTGAAAATGACTTGTTCAAGACAACTCGGTGAGTTGAACTCACAAGTCACAAGACAGACTGGAGCAAACTAGAGCCCGAAAGACTAGAGTTGAGAGTGGAGAAGAAGGGAATGAAGCTCAAAGCCGAAGGAGATTAGGGAAGAAGACAAGACGGACTCACGGAAGGAGAACCATTAGGCGGTGGTAGGTGGACGATTAGATGAGTTGATGGATGATGATCGCGTGAGTCGGTGACAGTGAGGGTTTCGAGTGTTAACAAAGTCGAAAGAGAGAGTGAGAGTGTGAGATCGTGAGAGAAGAGACCGAAGTTTGTGTTTGGCAATCAGGTACTCTGTACTCGGGGTTAGGGATTTAAAATCAAATTAGGAAATTTTCAATTTTTACTCTTCAATTCGGTTTTCGGTTCAAACCAAATTTTTTTTTCAAAAACCGAACCGAATCGAAATAATTTTGGTTTTTCGTTTCGGTTTTAAATTGTATAATTTTTAATTTAAAATCAAACCAAATTTCTTAATTCGGTCCGATTTTATTCGATTTTCGGTTAACCGAACCGTTTGCTCACCCCTAGTTATACCTTCTCAAAGCATTGGCTTTCCAATGTTTAGGGTGGATTGTCATACCCTTCAATGTTTAGAACTCAAGACACATCTCGTATAGATTATTAAGGTTATAATCTGTTCTTTTAATATGTAAAAAGAAAAAAAGAGAGATGATATTAAAATTTATAGTTTCAATAGATACTATTGTTGCATGTGTTGTAATACATAATTATCTTTGAAAAATAATTATTACCGATAACTTTTTCGAACAATTTGATGATGATTATATGAATTTATCATTAACCGGAGGAGGAGCGCAAGTATGAGTCGATCAAACATTTATGATTAATTTACGAAATTAAATTACAAATGAATTGATTAGTACTTGAGATTTTATTTATTTTGTGGATGATACGACAATTAATGTTATGTTAGAAGGTGCTTAATTTTTTATTAATAATTATTTTTATTGAATATTATTTATTTATACATATAAACACATTTATGTATATATTTTTATTTACATTAAAAAATATCATGTTATAATTGTGAGGTTAAAATTGTCATGTATATAGTCTTAATATGATTAGCAACGATACTTATTAAACAATATTATTATATTCAGCACTTAATTTTCAGTAAATAACAAACATCGGCAACATATTCGGTATTTAATTATTCAACATTTAAAATTCAATACTTAACAAATTCAGCACTTAAATTTCATTTTTATCAAACACCACCTAAATTTGTTTTAAACCAAAACTTGTATTTTAAATTAATTTTTAAAGTAGTTTAGTTAATTTAACTCGCTGAGAGTTTGCTTTGCAGAGATTCAACTTCAAGGCAGTAAATGACCTTAAAAGAAAGGGAATTCAGTAAACTGACGTAGTCGACAGTAGAACACCATTATGCAAGATAGTAAGCATCGATAGGAGATCTTTTTCGGATGTTCTTTTTCCCATGTCTGCAAAGATTCTTCAGAAGGACTGAGAATTCTGTGACAAGAATTTAGTATGATTATGGTAGCTCCAGGGGCTGCAACTCTAGCCAACTCATTCATGAACTGCAAATTTGTGGAAGGGAGATCAGAAAATTTCAGGTATATATAATAGCCATGCACATCTTAACAAACTTAAGCCAACGCTACCATCTTTGGAGGAAGCAATGTACAACAATATTTGAGCCTAAAAGTATTTCATTTCACATATCTTTAAATTAAGATTTCGTTTGACATGATTTGTTAAAAATATTTTTTTATTTTAAATTATATTTATAAATAATTTATGATAAAAAATGAGGTAAGTTAGAAGTGTAATTGCTAAAAAAAAAAAAATTCAAAATAATTTGTTTTATTATTTTTTTTAAGAAGATATAAGTTAAAGTGTTAAAAATTGAAAATTTTGGACTAGATTGCGTAGCGACGTTATAATTTAAGTCCAGAATTATTTTTTACTAAACATATTTATAATTTTTATTTTAATTAAAAATAAAACCTACTTAAAGCAATTTACAAAAGTTCATTGCCATAGTTAATAATTGTTTGTTTTATGAAGTAGTAATTAATAAGAGTAAGATTTCAAATTGAAAATTAATTTCACAAAACACTGCGTACTCTTGATATTATTTCTCTTTTCTATCGTTTTTAAAAAATTCCAAAGAACTTTTCTAAAAAAAGAAAAAAAAAACTTTTGCTAGAAACTTAGAAAAATCCTATTTTAAGATCTTGTGTTTGTATCAAATCCACGAATAAAAGCATCTGTAAATAATTTAACAAATTTAATTTTATATTCATTACATTTAGACAATTTCATCCAACTATTATCCATTCTTAAAAAAGAAAAAAAAAAAAAGAGGAGTACACAGGAAAGTAGCTTTATTAAATAAGAAGTCTAAGTTAAAATTAGGTTTTTTGTATTTTTATTTTTTTTAAAATATGCAACATATGAGGTATGAAACTTAAGTTATATTAAAATTTTTTAAATGATTTAAAAAATAGAGTAGGACATTTTAGTCAAAATTCTATGCCATGTGGTTGAAAATTTTTACATCAACAAATTTGTTTTATGTCTGGTAAGAAATAAGAATTGAAAGCAATTGAATTGAATTGTCTAAATATAGCAAACATTTCATCCAATTTGTCAAATGATTTACACATGATTTAATACAAAAACATTATCTTAAAACAACTAGGGTTTTTCCCAAGAAACTTTCTACCTGTGAGATATAAAGAAACAAGAAACCTTTCTTTTATCGGGGAAATGTTCTGGTCACTCCATCGACCAAACCAGATCAAATTGTCCATCCGGAATGGCTGCTCTATTGCTTCTGCAACTTGGAAGTAAACCTGTTAATTGATTAATGTTGATCACACTGTTCTGCCCAAAAATGTAAGCCTGTTTATCATGCTTCAAATCTACAAATTCAAAAATATATGAGCCGTACATTACATAACTTTTATATTTTTATATTTATTCAATGTGAGATGTATTTTTTAATACTTTTATTTGTTTTTAGTTTATATTTTTGGATCTGTCCAATGACTTTAACTCGAAGATCTTTTTTATTTGTGGAGTGGTTTGAATTCTAACATCTTATTAGACAGTTAAACCTCGTTTATTTTTCGAAATTCTCAAGTAATTTTGGCTTTATGATCTTTTTGAATTTGTCAAATGGTTTGCACTCTAAGATTTTTATTTAATTGTTGATTTTTATTTATTTTTTAATTTTTCAAGTGACTTTGACTCCAAAATCTTATTGAATATGTAAGTGGCTTGAATTTTAAAATTTTTATTGGATTGTCGGATCTTTGAGGCTTTAATACTATATTGAGTTTGATAGTTGAAATTGAGTTTTATCTAATTAAAAAAAAATTAAACTTCATTTATTCCATAATTATTATAGTACTTTTTATTTTTGTATTTATTAGACGTACAACATATTCTTAATTTAACATGGTCCATTAAATAAAATATATTGGCTTCGGTGTCCATCAACTATGTTGCAATGTGAAAATTAGAAAAAGAGTATATATATATCAGAAACTTTAAATGGATACAAGAATTGCACTAGAGACCTTAGAGCTTAAATTATACAACAAGCTTAAAATTAAATTTAAAAAATTGAGAGGCACCTTGTCAGTTAATCCTTCAGTAGCTGCAAGAGTAGTGGCTCCCGGGCTTTTTAAGGACTTACAGTCATGCCTTGGCATTTAGCACCATATTTCCTGGCTATGTACCCAGAGCTGCCTCTAATCGCGCACGCCCATAGTCAACCATGTTCTTAGGCCACTTTTCTGGGTACGTCTCTCTTTCGTATGTCAGAAGTCCACATGAAGAAAGCACACATTTTTATGAAAAAAATTAATTTTAGAATAAAAAACTATTAATGTTTGATCAATCAAGAGACTATTTAATCATGTTTTATACCATAAGGACTAATTAACTAATTTTGATAAACTACTAAGAGTAAGCTATAACTAACTCTTAATTTGATGTGTGTATATTATTTGTGAAAAAAAGAAGAAGTAAAAATCGGGTATAAAAACAAAAATCAACAACAAATTAGTTTAATTTGCGAAGCAAGGCATTTGAAGATTCATGTTTTTTTTTTTTTTTTTAATTTCCTATTTGAGTACTTATACTTATTTTTTTATTCTACATGAATATTTGCATTCGTAAAATTTGATAAATCAAATAATTAATATCGTTAGTTTTTTTATAAAAAAACATGACAGTATTGATCATCTTTAATTTAGTAGTTTTTATTTTTATATATATTCTTTTTCATAATTTTTTTTCAATTTATCTTTTTTTTCATAATTTTTTAAATATAAGAAAAAAATTATTAGAAAAGAAAATAAATTACTAAAGAATTAAGTTATAAATGGATATGAGAGTATAAAGATTTTTTTTATATTACAAAATATAAAATTAAATATATAGTTTCTGAATCTACCAGCCCTTATTATTTAGTTTTGTTAAACTATAGAGAACAACTTATAATTATCTTATAGTGAGCAGGAATAGAAAAGATTAAAAATCAACTTATTAGTTTTGTTTGGATTGGCTATAAGTAACAGATCTACTTTAGAAGTTAAAAACACAATTAAGACACAGTGGAACCGAATGAGGAAAAAAAAAAAAACTACAGATGGAACCTATGAAGCTTATATTTATAGTAAAACTTTATATGGAAAGTAGGACATAAATAGAATGAGATGGATATAGAAATAAGGTGAAGTATATATATTGTGTCTTTTATATTTAGTTTTGTCCATTTTATTTTTTATTTTATCTAATTAAAGTATAAAATAAATTCTGAATTATTTAAAATTAAAACAAAGTATTTATTATCTAGTGTTTGATCAATCATATGATCATATATAGTTAAAAAAAAAAACTGATTTATTTTAATTTTAAGTTATAAAAAATTTGTTTTTTACTATGAGTAGATAGGTAAAAATTTAAAATAGACAATACTTAATAATATAAGTACACACCAAAGAATTTGTAGTTGAGTGGCAATAGTCTCTTACAAGATATCACAAATTTAAATTATAACAAACTCTATTAGTAATCTTATGTGTTTATGTTAAGTGTGTGAGTTATTAAATAATAATAATAATAATATAAGTACACTCATTAAGAATACTAAAAAATAGTGGTAACAACAAGAGACCTGAAATGCCAGCAAAACTGAGAGCCTCTTCGATCATTCGAATTTGGGCTGCCCTGTGGTGAGAACGAGAATTGGAAACTTCAGCATTGAGGTTGTAAAAGCCATGATGCATGTGGTCTCCCCATAAACCTGAACTCTCATCGTAGAACTCAGCTACCCTTTTCTCAAGCTCGAGTGCATCCATATTTTTCCCGATTTGTCTCTGCGTTTGGGGGTATCAATAAACGAGTCAAGAAGGCAATTTATGAACACATCAAGAATGCACAACTAGCTTCAGCTTCTTGAAATTTGCATTTATGACAATTAATGGTTTTGTTGGGACGTTGAAGACTAGTGGGGATATTTCTCCTTGACGGTATATTTAATTTACCTAGCTATCAAGATGGGCACCTGAGTATCTCCATATCATTAATTAAGACACAAGAGATTGTTAGGGATATACCCGAGAAAACAGTAGGCCCAACTAAGTCTTGACGTGGAAGAATGATTTCCCTCTGGTTCCAGTCCTTCTCGGGCGAAACCCTGAACTGTCCACCTCTGTTAAGGGATAATCCGGAATCTCTGTTGACCAAGAGGACGTAAACTATTTTCATTTAATGAAAGTATCTCACTCTTCGATCAATGCTGATCATGAAGTTTCTTTTAACCACCAAACAACGATCTGTCAATATCAACGATATTTTATATCTGTACTTTGAAATTGGTGATAGAAGCCACCAGGAGTCATTAGTTATATAAAGGTGTTGTTGATCAGAAATTACGGGTTTTACTCAATTTTTATTACTAATATTCGTCATTTTAATACACCTACATAATTCTATTACAGTCTGAGCGGCTTTACATTTCTCTCCATGTACTAATTTAATCATCAAAAAATTTCTCAATCAACTAAATTGTTTTATTGTATAGGTATTTTAAAGAGCTGGATTATCATCCACAGTAAACCTCAATTGTTTCTTCAACCATAAAAAAAAACCACGTAATCATCGCATTATTCCAAGGTTCATAGCCTCGTCAGTTAGCACATAGGGTTTTTTTTTTTTGATAAAATAGGTGTATAGAGATTGTTAACAATTTGAATAAACCATAGATAATCTATGTATATATGTGTGTGCGCAAGCTACTCTTATTTAAAAATCATAAAAATAATTCATCATATAAATTATATTATATTTTAAAAAATAAAATAATTACGTTTTAAAATTTTATTCTAAAATCCACACACACACATATATATATTAACAAATAAAATCATATTAAAAAATTAAAAAATTAATTTGACGAGAATTTTGATAAGAAATGAATAATTGAAAAAATAAATTCTAAACAATAAGAGAAATACAATTATATATATATGTTTAATCTAAAATCTAAAAACATATCATATATATTTCATTACCCGATAACCGTACATAAAACTTCAAAAAATAACAATATATTTTCTATAATTTTCACGCTCAATTTTATAATAAAAAATTATAAAAAAAAATTGTTGGAAGAAAAAAAAAGGGTTAGGCTCGTCCGTTTGGGTCGCTTGTGTAGGCCTATGTGTCGAGCCGATTTAAGCTTGCTTGGGCTTGGTTGGTCGAGCTTGTACGGTCGAGCTAGCCCCGTTTGCTTGGGCTCGCATGTGCAAGTCGCACGCCATTCGGGTTTGTTTTGGCCGAGCTCGTGCTATTGATCGGCCTTAAAAAAAAAAAAAAAAGCTGCAACTTCCAATGAACTCATGCTCGATTGAAAAGTCACGAGCCAAGTTTCAAGTCCCCGAAACTTATTTTTGATATTATTTTTTTCTAAAATACTTCTAAATGACCAAAATAAAGTCAATAAACATTTTTAAAACTTAAAAATTATTTTAATTCACATTAAAAAAACATAATCAAATTGAAATTTTTTTTAGCTCCAATCTATCTCCTCTAATCATTTGATGACTTAAAACCAATATGGATAAACTCATCTCTCCTAAAGGGAAAAAATCTAATGGAATATTGCTAGTCAAAGTGGTTGAAATAAGCTTATCCGACGCTCTCTTTCTCTCTCCTCCAATCTCTCTCTTTTTTTCCTCTCGTCCTCCCTACACCTAGGAATCAAAATGCATCACAAATGAATATATAGATAGAAATAAAAACTTAAAAAATATCAAGGATTAAAGTGTAAAAAATTATATAATTTTCTTATCATTGCTTGAAAAATTCGAAAAAATCACAAAAGACGGACTACGTTCGCGATGTTGATGAGTTTGCGATTACAATAAATAAATATGATCACTATTGAAATATCCTAGTTGTTTTAGTTTTCTTTACTAGTTAGATACTAACGTTATACTACGGTCAAACAACCGTTACATACGTACGATTAACGATTCGTATGGTATAGTACGAATAGAAGTTTTATTTTTGATGATTAATGAAAATCGAATATATATATATATTGAACGAAGTCGTTCGATTTATGTATATTTATTAAAAAAATATTTAATAATATTAGCATAAAAATTTGTATTTGAATAATTAAGAGGTTCTTTCAAAACATTATCTAACTTATTTTATTTAAAAAAATTAGAATATAGAAAAAGAAATAATAAATAATTGATATTATGTATGTAGATATGTAGTTAATTTCTAATAAAACTAATGAATAGTATGAAATATATTGAAGTCAATAGATTAAAATAAAAACTACAATAAAATGGGTTCGATACATTTTGAATAAATATATATAAAAGTAGAGTATATAGAATAAATAGAAAAATATATGAAAAAAACAACCTAAATTGTATGAAATATATTGAAGTCAATAGATTAAAATAAAAACTACAAAAAAATTGGTTCTATTAAATTTTGAATTAATATATATATAAAAGAATATAAAACTTGTGAGTTTTTAATTGATTGTTAATTTTTTTTAAAAAAAATTGAACCAAAGGAAAAAAAAAAAAGGCTAAGCGTGAGTCGCTTGAATAGGCCGACAGGTAGGGGTGATCATTCGGTTAAATGGTTCGATTTTGAACGATTCGATTCGATTTTCGGTTAACCGAATTAAGAAAAATAAAAATCAAAACCGAACCGAAATAAATTCGGTAAATTCGGTTTGTAACCGAATTATTTCGGTTTGATTTCGAAATATTTGATTTTAACCGAAATATTTTGCTGTAAAAAAAATCATTATAGAGAGATGTTTTGTAATAGCACTTAGTCCACTAGCCAATGAAGTAACATCTTGTTATCAATTAATCCTTTTTATAGACCCTTGAAGATTTTAACTAGGCTTTAATAAAAACCGGTCCAAGTGTAATTGATTTTATCATTCAAGCACACTCGTATCCCAATTAATTACACTCGACACTTTTTTTCTTACCTTAACGGTCCTCAAAATTTACTTCCCATCTTTTGCTTTACAGACCCATTTAGGCATTTAGTACCAAAAAAATTAAATGACCACTAAATTCACCAACGTCGTCGCCTCCTCCATCTCATCGTCTAGTAGAAAGTGCAATAACGACAATGTTGTCCGAGCATCCTTTTTGATCTTGGCACGTCATATTGCCTTCCCATTTTATTTGCTTTCAACTAACATGGCAAGATCGAAGCATTTGCTACACCTCAAGAATAAAATACACATAAATAAAAAAGAGTCGTTGTAATAGAATACCGACAAAAACTATTTTATATTAATTACTCGACAATCGGCCGATAACATTTTCTCTATTTTTTTGTGGTTCAAAATACTAACTATGAATTTCTATGGTAACAAAGGACATCGTATTCTCACTAGAATCACCTAAAACGACATTGTCTTCATTTTCGGTCTTTGAATTCTTGCGTGATTGATTTCCATCACGAAAAGGAGACGGTGAAGGAATATAATAATGCCGAGGAGATGCACATGGTGTCCAAAATGACGTCGTTACACCATCAACCTCGACATCGACAACCACATCATTAGCAACAACTACCTTTTCAAAACAAACATCATCGTTACTCATTTTTATCTTCTTACTTTTAACAAGTTCGTTCTCTATAGACGATGCGTCGTTCTCGGTTACCTCCAGCTCCTCCCTATACTCTTCCTTAATAGCAAACAAAACTCTCGATGTTCCCTACATCCCTTGTAACTTCAACATCTCCTCCACCAACGCATCCGTGCCATCTGCGAAGCCGGCAAAGCCACTTGTGGATGTCGTTAGGTTTGTTGTTGAGTTAGGTTCGACTCGAGTCATTTGTTTTTTGCAGCAAAAGAAGTAGAGAAGTTCCTTAGACAACGTCAAGTAGAATGAATCAAAACTACTAATGAATTCTCCGTCAATAGAGGAGCTTAGAGGGAACGAGGGACATAAGAATTGAAGGAGAAGCTGGAGAGTGGAGATTGGAGAACAAAGGAATGAAGCCGAAGGAGGTTAATAAAAATTTCAAATCTATTCATTTATAAATAATCCTAAACAATTTATTAGAATTTAGGAAAAAATGTTATAAACTAATTAAATAATGCTCGTGCCAAAAAAAAAAAAACTAGTCATTAGAAAACTTAATACAAACTGATGTGTCAAGTAATAAATTGAATGGTAGTCAAACAAATAACTGTGGCAACAATTTATACCAAATTTGTATTATTTATTTATTTAGATCGATAGCATTACTCGAATAGAAAGCCTTTAGAAGCATCCTTGCATGATGACATATAAAGTACATCCTTGAACATAAAGATTCATAACCAAGTATGCATTTTTTTTTTTAATAAAAAAATCAAGAAAAACATCAAACTATGAAAGCATTTAAGAAATATTTCTATATATGGAAACAAATGAAACAAAAATAGGGAACGAAATACAATGAACAGTGATTGCTACTAATGAAGGCTAAGCTTACCACCGCGCAGCAGATACGACAGGCTCTTCTATGTGAATGACGAGCGAATTACTGGCGGCCAAAATGGGGCAACATATTGAGACCAATCTGCTGTCTTAATATCCTGTAATGCAATGAGAGCAGCACAATAATTCTATGTTGTGAGTAAGAATGTATATCTAGAGGTAACAAATACGTTATGATAACAATCGCACAGAAAAAACAGATTTCGGCGCAAGTCCTATTCTAGAGTCCCGAAAAAATATGATCTCTTTTGCAAAGAAATTGTCATGTTTAAATTTTCACACAAATTAAGAAAGTCATGTAACTATTTTTTATTTATATTTTTCAAAAAATTAATTGTAGATTCTGTACTAATGAGATCGGAATAGGGATATTGTAATAACATATATGACTTAAATGTTTTGACCGGACAATTATTTTAGCATAAATAAAAATGGTTTAATGACAAAAATTACTCCAATTCTATTCCAATTTGATAATTTCAAAAATTTATTATCAATTTGGTAATTTGTACCCTAAAATATTAGTTTTTGGATAAATTTTATCCAAATCATATTTTTTTGTTATTTGTAACGTGGATTGATTCGTTAATTTTTTTTTCTGTTGTTAATTATTTTATGCTATTACTTAAAAAAATATTAAAAATGATTTTTCTCTATTTTTCAAGAGAGATTCTTTCTATTTAAAATTTTTACATATTAATCCTTTTGATTTTTCATAGTCAATCAAATTGTTATTGGTATATAATTTTTTTCGATTTTAAAAAAATAATTTTTATGTAGTATTATTATCCATTAAAACGATCAAATTCTATAATTAATAAAATAAAAATATCTATTGGTTGAATTTGATCAATTAAAATTATCAAAAAATTAATTTAATTTTTTTATCATGCCAATAAATTTATTCTTGTCATTGTCAATTATTAAATTTTAAATATAACTGAATTTATTTATTTTTTTATCTTCACATGTTTTTATAGGATTTTATATCATCACAATTGATTCAAATATATGATATGCATTTAAAATTGTTACGAGTTAGAATTTTTTTTTAAACTTTTCTAATTTTATTTTATTTTTAATTTTTTTAAAAATATGTTCAAAAAGTGAAAGTTCTTTTTTTGGGAGAACAAAAAAAAAGTTTAGTAATAAATTTAATAATTTTATTTATTTATAGGTAAACGGATGAAAAAAAAATCTCGAAAAATAGAGGAAAAGCAATTTAATTTTTTTTAAAAAAATTAATAGCAACGAAGAAAATACGATATGGATAGGATTTGCAAAAAAAAAAAAAAAGATATTTTTGGGATTCAAATTATACAAATTAATAATAAAAATATGAAATTACCAAATTGTAATAAAACGGAAATAATTTTTACCATTAAATCAAATAAAAATAGAAAGTATAACGATTTTTCGGAGGAACTAGTAAATTGCAAATTCTTTGCCTTTCCACTGAGCATGTTGGTTAATGGGTAATGAAATGGAAGAAAAAATTCAGAGTAGCTTTCGAGTTCATCATTCTTTTCCATTTATTTTATTTTTTACGGAATACAAGCTTTTACCATATATCGGGAAGGGATACACTTGAAACGTTGATGAGTGGTTCGGTTTAATTATCGGCTTTTGTTCTAGCTCATTCATTTTGTGAAAAATGTTCAATCCTTCAACTCAATGTTCAAAGGTCTGGTGGGGGATGATGAGAGAGTGATTTAAGTGAGTTTCGGCAAAAAATTATGGAAGTAATTGTAATAACTTTCTACCGAAAGATCAAAACATAAATCATACTATGTAATGATCAAGACATAAATCATTTATGCCTATTCGGGATATTAAATAAAATAATAATCACATAGATGAAGCGAATAAATTACTTACCCGAAGCGAAATTCAACATGATGTAGAGAGAGCTTTCAACAATCACGAACCTTATAAATTAGTTTCTCTCCCTTAGCCTTCTTTTATGTAGCAGTTGGCTTAATGGATAGCCAAAATACATACGTTCGTATTTTTTGTGTTTTTGTCCGCATACTTTTTAGGGTAGAGAGAGGACTAGTTTATATACTCGTTAACAATAAATCTTGTACGTCCATCAAGTACTAAATTAACGATCCAGATTTAACATAATATTAAATTAAGAAAACCCTAAACCAACTTAATGTGGGCTTACAAAAATATGGGCCATAACATCGAGCCATATTTCTTACATTCTCCCACTTGGCTGGATGTTTCATCATTACATTTAATAGTATAACATAAGGCTAGCAAAATTAAATCTTATAAACCATTAACATCATAAGTACCTCAACAAAACAAATCACATAATGTGGGTTATGGCGATCATACACGGTATAGTCGTATACTCCCTTCCATATACCACTACATTAAGAACTTATTATGTTAGGTTCATAAGTTGCATATAAACAACATACGATCCACATACTTGTTATGAAAATACATACAAATTTCTTCTTCAAACAATCATGTATATATAAACATAATGAATAAGAAATATAAAATTCAGAAACATATCATTATTGAGCTCAAGAGTGTTAAAACATCATCATCAATCATTGATACAACCAAGACCCATCCTAAGCACATGTTCTTTGAAAGTCTTTGGTTGTAAACCCTTAGTTAAAGGATCTGCAACCATGAGATCCGTTCTAATATGTTATATATACACTCTTTGTTTCGAATCACCTCTTTAACAACAAAATACTTTAATTCCATGTGTTTTGCACCTCTAGAGTATTTATCATTTTTAGAGAAGAAAACTACCGCAGAATTATCATAATAAATTCTCGGCGGCTTGCTTACCGTGTCGACAACCCTAAGCCCCGAAATAAAGTTTGGCAACCATAATGCATGAATTGTAGCCTCATAACAAGCTGCAAATTCTGCTTCCATAGTGGATGAAGCAATGATAGACTGTTTGGCACTTTTCCATGAGATTGCTCCTTCGCTAATAGGAATAAATAGCTAAACGTTGACTTTCTACTATCAACACACCCAAGCAAAATCTAAATCCGAATATCCAATCTCTTCTAAGTGATCGGACCTCTTATAAGTGAGCATATAATCCTTTGTTCCCCGAAGGTATCTCAACACTTTATTTGCAGCTTTCCAATGATCAATACCGGGATTACTTTGATATCTACCCAACATCTCTACCGTAAAGCCGATGTCGGGTCTAGTACGAGTTGGTAGGTGCATCAAACCGCCCACAACGAAGCATATGGAATTGTTTCCATTTCTTTACGTTCCACATCATTCTTTGGACACTGCATAAGATTAAATTTATCTCCCTTTTGAATAGGGATTATACCTGCTAAGCACTTGCTCATGTTAAATTTCTCAAGAATTTTCTCAATATAAGCTTTTTGAGACAATCCTAATAAACCTTCGATCTCTTACGGAATATTGAAATTCCAATCACATAGGATGCCTCTCCAATATCTTTCATTTCAAAACTCTTAGAAAGAAATTCTTTAGTCTTATGCAATAAACCCAAGTCATTAGCAGCAAGCAAAATGTCATCAACATATAGAACTAGAAATATAAACTTATTCCCACTAATCTTTCGGTAAATACATCGATCAACGAGTGATTTTCTCAAAACCGAAAGAGGTAATGGTATTATTGAACTTAATATACCATTGCCTAGAAGCTTGTTTAAGTCCATATATTGACTTCTTCAATTTACACACCATACTTTCTTTACCTTCAATGGAAAAACCTTCAGGTTGATCCATATAAACTTCCTCCTCAAGATCCCTATTTAGAAAGGTTGTTTCCACATCCATCCGATGTAGCTCTAAATCAAATTGAGCACTAATGCTAAAATTATTCTCAATGAATCTTTCTTTGAGACAGGTGAAAAGGTCTCCTTATAATCAATGCCATCTTTCCGAGTGTAGCCTTTAGCAATAATTCTAGCTTTATATCTTTCAACATTACCATTCGAGTCGTGTTTGGTCTTAAAAACCCATTTACAACCAACTCGTTTAGAACTTTTGGCAAGTCTACAAGATCCCGGACATTGTTTTGAGCCATTGATTTCAACTCTTCTTTCATAGCATCAATCCATCTCTTAGACTTATCACTACCTATAGCTTGTGAAAACGAAACGGGATGATTATCAATGCCACAATCAAAATCGACTCTTGTAAATAAACCACATAATCATCAGAAATAGCCGACCTTCTAACCCTTATAGGTCTATTTAAAGCTATACCAATTGGTTCATTTGCATGAGCTAATGGTAAGTTAGGTTCTTCATAGGGTGCTTCTTCATTATCCAAATGTTGTTGTTGATTATTTTGATCTTCCAAAACAGGAACAACATT